AGTCACTTACGCTGATGAACGGTATGAACACCTGCGAAGAGCCTTCGTCACTGCTCTTCTCCTTGTAGGTGATCATCGCTTCGGCAATCGGCAACTGGAGACAACCAGAAGATGACTCGATGTACTGCGATACTCGGGACAAGATTTCGTGTCCATCAGCTTTCCGGATCAACTCTTCCTTCTCCAACAGTTCTCGCCACCCACCGTCGATTCCGAACAAGTTCCCGTAGCCATTGTCAATGCTCGCGATGTACCGAGAAATATTGCTCACGCCTGTGAAAAATTCGGAAAAGAGACATGATAATGAAACAAAAACGTTCACACTGACGTTTCCCCGATTGAAAAGACTACCTTTGCTTAAAACAGACCACAGGACACACGTACTTCGGAAATCTCGTTTTACATACTGTAATACTGTAGAGTGTAGATTATAGCACTCGGCAGAAAATGACTGTTGAAAATCAATGACCAGACCCGTAGTATCGTATTTTTGTGCAGATTAGTAAACAAAATTCCAACGAATTGAGAGGAACATGAGAACAAATAATTTAAATCATCAGCAGCTATAATCGCACCAAGAGGAGCGGAGCAATTTTTTCTGAATATCACATTTCAGTGAGGTGTGCAGGTTTAAATTCCGGGTAGGGCCACTATTTGGGGGCGTATCTGAAAAAAGAGTTGACATGTTTGATGATCAATTTTTACTTTTATTTTTTCGGTGAACACGACGTAAGTTCTTCAGCAAAAGATTTCTAATTATAATATTTATAAGTTACTTTAAATGGCAAGGTGTTTGTACAGTGTTCAAGTTTCAAATCAATTTAACACACATTGTGAATCCTACTTCTCGGCGATTTGTCAAGGAAATATTCCGGGTTTCAGATTAGCTCATTTGAAGATTTAAATACAATATCATTTTACTGAATATTTTATAGAAAATGATTTTGTATTTAAATCTTCAAATGAGCTAATGAGTCAGAGACATCAAGGGCGGGAGCATAAATTTAGCTCCTCGGTCACCAGTTTCAATCATTCGCCAACTCGAAGATTAAATCAGATTTCTTTACTGCATTTTCCCCCGCAAAAATGCCCAGAAAATGTTGGAGAAAAAGAATTAATCTGAGATTCATCTGATTTTCGGGATAAAATAATACATTACATTCTGCACATTACCAAGTACAGTAAATACTCACCCAACGGTACAATCAAAAAACGAATATAGGACTGCCAGTCAGGTGGTCTGGAAGACAACTGCTCCACAAAAGGCTTCACGGCCGCATTGACGTGACAATCAGAGCCCACGAGAACCACCTTGACCGGATTCGGCGTTTTCGCGTTGCTGTTACAGCTATTAAAAAGAAACAAAAGAGATTAAAAATGTAGCATCGCTGGAACAAAAGGTTGAAAGAAACTATCGAACAAAGACTTCCATCAATTTTGCATTCACAAGGGAAGAAAAAATTATATTCAAATTTTAAAAATATTTTCACAACGAATTCAATAAAAAATTTAGGGGGAAAAATCTTCGCCCCAACATTAATCCGAATGTAACAAATTTCAAAAATGAATTTCGTAGCTTCATCTGTGAAAAATTTCGAGAACGGGCGTGAAGTTCCGAAACTTGAAAGACGCCTGCAATTATTCAGCGAAGAAAAACTCGACTCACTATCGCTGAATTCGGTTGACCAAGCAATTGACAGTTGCTCTGACATCCGCGTGACCGGCAGTGCAAATGGCTGGGCGTAGGGCAGAGGACGCATTCAATAGCGAAGCCACGAGGGCTCCTTGAGGATCCATTGTTGACACTATGAGCAAACTCGACGGCAACGAGTCATCCACACCGGTGGGCAAGAAACGGCCTAGCTGCTCCAAAAGGACCTTCCTTGGTTGAGCCTTCAGTAAAAATCCGAACAATATAATACTGCGCAGAGCTTCGGTCAATGGACATGATNGCTTCATCTGTGAAAATTTTCGAGAACGGGCGTGAAGTTCCGAAACTTGAAAGACGCCTGGAATTATTCAGCGGAGAAAAACTCGACTCACTATCGCTGAATTCGGTTGACCAAGCAATTGACAGTTGCTCTGACATCCGCGTGACCGGCAGTGCAAATGGCTGGGCGTAGGGCAGAGGACGCATTCAACAGCGAAGCCACGAGGGCTCCTTGAGGATCCATTGTTGACACTATGAGCAAACTCGACGGCAACGAGTCATCCACACCGGTGGGCAAGAAACGGCCTAGCTGCTCCAAAAGGACCTTCCTTGGTTGAGCCTTCAGTAAAAATCCGAACAACATAATACTGCGCAGAGCTTCGGTCAATGGACATGATTCGTTTCAGTTAGAAAGTCATTGCCCGTAAAATCGAGTTTTACAATGCTAGAAGGAATCTAGACCAACAAAAAATTCACTCACTCGGAAATTTCCTCAATAAATTTTTGAATTCATTTTATGATTGAATACGATGTTGGAAATTGTATACAGTAATAAAAAGACAACATAATTTAAGACCGAGGACGAAAAAGGGATCAACAGAGAAGGCTCTTGAAATCGGAAGAAAACTCATCAACGCCACAGAAAATGTACATTTTTCTAAAAATCCCAAATAAAATAAACTCCTTTCTAAACTTTCGTGCAAGGATTTATCTTTTTTTCTCTTTCCTCCTCGTCCCGGACAAACGAAGAAAATATCGTTGGACAATTTGATCGTTTGCTATAAAACGTAAGCAAAAAATTGTTGACGCTTTCTCGAAAAATGCCAAAAAATAAAAAAATAGTATTTTTTAAACATCCATGGAAAAACGCAGGGTTTCTTTTAAACTAAAGTTACTAACCACCGAATACAGTACAGCACAGCTTTTGAAAATACCAGGAAAATGTCGACTGAATCGATAACCTTATATAAGTACCAGAATACCTCATCCTGCATTTCACGAGCCTAAGAAAATAGACACAAGACGGAAAAAAAAAGGGTTTTACCAGACGTCAAGTAACCAAACGTTTACCTAACCTGCACAGCAGCTAAAAATTAAACCGGAACAAACGCAATAACACAGAAAACTATGGAGTCGGAGTCGTCAAGACGGTATGAAGAACAAAACATACAAAAATATAGTTTTAAGTTTTTTGGTTTTCTATGAGTGTAACTTTAGTCCCTTTCTTTTAACTGACCGTTGGGGTCATGGGACAGGTGGTTCGCGGAAAAGGAAGAGGAAACACCTTCTGAACAGGAAGCTGGGACACCCCGGCCCAGAACTGCCCCATTCCTTGGGAAACAGCGTTTTGGCGCCGTACAAGATGTCCGAAAACCCCGATGATCCCTTCCCGGGTTCCTTCTTCTCTCGCATCTCGTCCCCCGACGAACCCTTGGGCGGCGAGCTCGACGACCCAAGCAAGGCCGGAGCCCCCGGGGTCGGCGGCTGGGGATCACTGTGTTCAGTGTCGGTTCCAGTGAGATTCGGGTGCGGGTCCAAGTCGCCCTTCTTCGAACCGTCGTTGGCCATTTGCTCGCGACTGGCGGCGCCTCCGGGCGGAGACATGCTTTCGTGCAGGGAACGAGAGGAGAAAAATGGTCTCAAACTGGGCTTCGGGGTCGACGATATGGACAAAGTGTCTTCTTCGTCTTCCTCGTTTCCCGATTCGGAAGACACAGCACCGAGATCTTCCAGTTCGTCAATCCAATCCTCAATCTCCTCTGGATCCATTTCACCTTTAAAAATAATTAAAATAATCAACCGTTGATTAATAAAAAAAAATTTCAAGATCAAGAAGAATACTCACGCGGCAAGTTTTCATCCACACCAGGAGACGTGAACACACTTTGGAAGTCTTCGCTCACCTTGAACCGCTTCAAGAGAGCCACGAATTTCTGCTTCAGATTTCGTTGCTGTTGATCGAAAAAACAAGAATCATGAGAATTTCAAGTATTTTCAACGATAATTCAATACTTTAAAAGATAATACTGTATTTCGAAATAGGAAATTCAAGAGCCGCTAATCATATATCCGATATGCAAAAAAAGGCTGGATACCTTTACATGCATATTCGAGGTACTCGAAACTTTCTTGGAACAAATTGAACTGCATTTGAAAACCACGTGGTCTCATAGGAATACTGTACAGATATACGGTACTATGTCAACAACGATCTGGTATACACCGATATTTTCTGCATGATGATTTTTATTTATTTTTTTCCATATGGTTCTCTACAATGAATTTCTGTATCCGGTCCCTTGACTTTCGTTGTACGGAGTCCATTCGTTTTCCTTAATTCATCGCATTCTAAATACAGTAAAACACCTTTTGTAAACCCGACTTAGGAAGATGATTCCAAAAAAAAACCACGACTCATCCTCTTATCTCATCTCGACAACATTGCAAGTCAAAAAAAGAAACTTACTCTGGCTGATGTATGCGTCAAGCTGGCTTTGCTGCCCCTCGACACTTTCCTTCCAATGACAGGCCGGGTAGCGACAGCCCCATGCGACTCCTCAGCCATGGGCTCACTATCACTACCTTCCTCATTACTGGAAAAGTCGTCATCGTCGTCAGAAAATTCGCCATCTCGTTCTCCAGCACTGCCAGCGGGATCACTGAATACCCCGACGTGTTTACGACGCGTTGAATGACCGCTAGAGTCTTGATTAACGGGTTGACTGGACAGGGAAACGACTGAAATCCGGGCACAAACTTGTCCGCAACTCGGGTTCGGACCAGAGGACGCATTAATGGGATGCGATTCCAATTTTGCCGCAGCCCCTTCCCCAAGCACCAATTCCAGTTCGAGGTCCACCGGTTTCTGAAGCACTTGGCTCATGTTGATCGATCCAATGGCGAGAGTCTTGTATCCGAGAATTGTTCGATTTTTGTACCTTTTCCGACGTTGAAGCATGACTTGAAGTTTGTTGCCATCGCGCTTCAGGAAATGGGGGTACTAAGAAAGGGGAACCGTTCATGAAAGCTGGATGATAGACGCAGATTTATCGCTGTACGTACTTGCAATGAAAAAGACAGATCCAGTTCAGTATCAAGAAGGCCGTTTGCGTGAAGAGCGATCTCATTCGAACGGAGTATTCGTTTCGAGCTCTGCATCTTCACGGCGATGAGAACAGATGAAACGTCGTTTCCTAGGGTCTTCATGAGTACCAGGCGAGACAGACGCATCATGCATAACCTAAATATGGAATTCAATCATCAATTCCAACTAAATATCCAAGAAAATATGTCGTTAAGTTTGGTCAAGGAATCCGAGCTATTCAGCGATAATACTGTACACGGTCAAACCTCTTAGTTGATCTTCAAGGGACCAGCAGGAAAATTCGAGTAAAAGAAACAAGCACTTTCTTTAGGGGAGAAAAGATTCACAGGAAATTGTCATTAGTGATACTCCAAGCCTTGAATTACTTCTCAAATGAGTTTAAAGGATGCTCAACTTGGAGGCAAGGGGTTCGTTTGTCCAATTAGTCTTTCACTTCCTTTCAGAATAGATCAAGTGACATTTATATTGCTTCTCCCTTCCCTGAATCAATAAAAAATAGTCTAACGGGCTCAATAAAACTCGAGTTATGGGGGGTTGAGGGGAAATTCTTCGAGTTGGGGATGTTTTTAATGCACGTTTTCTAAGGGAATTCAGCCAGGGACTTAAAAAATAAATTTGACGGGGAGGTATTCATCTTCGGAAGGTTCGAGTAGTCGAGGTTCAACTGTAATCACGTTCACAGGAGAATAATCATGAATTCAAAGTTGGTTCGTTATTTGTAAGCTAAGTCGAACGTTTCACGTCTGAACACAGTTTTTTTCGGCAAGGTTTGGGTTCGTTTTTACAGTTGTCTGGTTGGTAAGATATTCTTATCGAATGATTAAATTTTATATTAAAATTATTCTTCCTAGACTTAGAAACCCAGTTCGCCGATAGGTTCATAACATTTGGAGAGAGTTCAGGCTACTTGATGCAGACTCAACTTTCTCTTGAGTTCTTTGTAGCAAACCAGCCCCAGAAAATTTTCAAGGGAAACGAACCTCGGTATGCAATACGGTTGCGTTTTGTCGACTTCCCATGTCGCGAAGAGCTTCATGGGTACCGGCTTGCTGCCGTAGCTGAACGTTGGTCTTCCGCCCTTCTCTGCCATTTTAGTCATGTGCGAAATAGGAACCGAAAACGCACGTCACACTGTATATCCTGTTCACCGACACGGCACAGCTAACCGTGATTCCAAGGTAGCATTTCGAAAGTTCTTGTGCAACTTCCCGGTAAGAAGCCACAAAATATCACATCTAGAGGAATTCACCACAGAAATGAAAAAACAGTCAGTCGGGTAGCTAATTAGGTCTAGACACTGTACCACAAAACAGGACACCAGAACTCGCGCTTCCGACACAGCTCGGAGCACAACTTTTTCACCGTTGGGGATAATACTCGTTAATATAAAGCTGTAGACATCCGCAATTTAAGGATTCACTACCAAGTTCAGTTGGGGAAAAAAGAAGCTCATCAATTCCATCGGTAGGCATGTATCCAGTGAAAGATTTCTCAGAGGTCAAAAGGAAATCCTGTATCAACCCAACCGGAATCTCAGTAGACCTCTGAATCACGCTCCTAAGAAATTAAGCTTCCACTGTAACACCACGACTACCACAGAAATTGAAGCGTTCAACCGCTTCTGAAATTAGTAATTGACCTACATTTAAGAAATGCACTTCATTTAACCGGAACAATCCAGGAATAGAACGGGTCCGCCAACTTCCGTAAAGCCGTCAGCACGAGTTTAAGCGATAGCACAAAGCCTGAACACCCAATGATGGTAGAGCACTGATCCCATTTCATCATACATGCACAAACCAAATATTTAATTAAACCATTTGGAAAATCTATTTTAAACTTGTTCGGATGATCGATCGCTAGAGAAGCGGACGTTAACCGCTCCTAAACCTTGAGACTGAATGCGTTGGGAGAATATATCTCTCAAAAAATGACATTCCACGAATTGTACAACCTCTGAACGAAGTGCCCTCATAAGCGCGGCCATTGACAATCGAGGTCGCGGAATTCCCTCGACTTTCGGCAATCACATATCCACCACGGGCGAGGAAAACAGCAGATTTCTTGCGGAATTTCTTAGTCATGCATACGGGGAATCGAGCAGCAATAGGAAAAATGCATTTCACTGAAAGGATTAAAACGACAGGTTCTCGAGAAATGCTGTAAACTTCTGGCCCACGAATTTGAACGAGAGAAATTTCACGCCGAATGAATAAAATTTCAAAATACGTAACATGACGATATTAATCAACTTCTATACACATGTACGCGTCACGCGGAAACTCGTTCAGGTTGCCGAACTCGAGCTCTCCGCGCTTTCTGCCTCAAACTGAGTTGCAAAACGTAAACCTCGCGGCAATTGGCGTCGCAGAACATTTTGCTTCCCAGGGTTTCAAACTTGGTCTTGTCCAACAACTGGTGACAAACACAGCAACAAAAGCATGACCGGTTCAGGTGCCAAGCGAGCAACCCGTTTTCGATCAACGGCTCTTCCGGGTCTATCACACTTTTACACGCGCGGCAAATGCGTCCGTGTTGTGCGAAGAAGCAAGTGGAGCACAAAGCGCGACCGTCGTGTAACACGTACTCGTCTTCCATGGGCTGAGTGCACGAGCAACACAAGAAATGATTCTTGTGATACGCGTGACTCTTACTCCACACAAACTCGTCGTCGAATATCCACCCTTTCGAAAGATTCAGTCACACACCAAGCACAGATTAATGACTAACAACGAGCGCGCGTTCCCCGAACGCTACGATGATGAGCGTTCGCGAAGCAGAATAAGAGAACCAACAATTTCTGGACGAACACTTCGTGAATTCTCACCAATGTTTCTCAATTGAACTCAGGCACTAAAATACCTGATGTGCGGCACGTAAAACCGTTAGGTAACTGGAGTCGCTTTACTAGTCGCGTTTTTTACGACGGACTTTAGCGCATTGTAAACAACAGGAATTCGTTCGTAGACGTGAACACTGTGGATTTTGTTACAGGGTGCCAATAGTTGCTTTCTCCTGTTCCACTCTTTCAAAAAAAACACAGTTTCATCCTTAGTTATAAGGAAGTTTCAGTAAACAGTCCTATACTTGGTGCAGGTCATTGACAACAATGGCTGTTTGTCCAGGTGCGAAAATTCTCCGGCATTCAGTGCATCTTAAACGCTTGTCTTTGATGCCTAAGCTGTCCACGTAATCGCTCTGGACAGCAGTTTCTGACGCAGCCCGGGATTCTTCGGCGCTAGATGTCACTGTCACTAGATTGGTAGTCGTTGGTCTTGGAAGCTGCTCATACAACTTGGACTGTTCAGCCTTCTGCACTGCAGCTGTCTTTACTGGCGAGTTGTGTGTTTGCCATGAACTTGCATTCAGATCTGGCAGTACCTGTTGAATTATGATTTCTTTGTGGAACACAGCATGCAGAAATATAGGTGGAATCCACAATGCAAATGGTGTCAACATGAATGTCAATTTATGTGCAAGCAGTCCAATAATTGGGAATATCATTTTAATTGTCTGTCAGCGCAAATCATGTTCAGAATTTAACCCTTGCAAAATCTAAAGTTTTAATTTTACTAGGACATTTTCTTGAATTTCAAACTCAACTGCTGTGCATAAGTGAAATCAGTCATTGCAACTCTGTCTAGAGTATTACTGATGAGTAAAATAATATGTTTTGTGATTTTAGAAGCTATTCTCATGCAAACTTGCTTGACCTTTGGTGAACTGAAATGAGATTGAATGTGATGAATTGATCCAGGTGATTATTTCACAATTTGCTGGCATGAACTATTTTTCAAACTCATTCAATATACAGTATATATGCAGTGTATCAATTGGGAAGCATATCTTTCAACTGTTCAAATAATTTCTGGGATTCTGAGCAAAATGTTATGTAAAATGCTTAACTAAAAATGTCACGTCAAAAAGACTTATCCGTTTATTTGTAAAGGTACGTCCGTAAAGAATGTATTAGGAGACAGGAACCCGGGACTAGGGACCTTGGGTCCTCCAGGACCTTGGAGTACCGTAGTTGGCGGGTTCTGCCAGGTTCAACAGCAATTTCATCCAGACCCTACGGGAAACCATTCCATCATAACAGCGTCAATAATTTTACTCGTGAGTAGATGTCGCTGCGCGCTCGCCCTCACCTCCTCGGTACCATCTTGCGTTCTACGACTCCCATCGGCTCTGGAAGTGCCTGCGCTGCTTTTCGACAGCGGTTTATCGGGCCTCTGGGAAATCCTGCCGATATCCGCGGAACTGGACCGACTCGTGTGTTGCAGGGCCGACAAATGATCATTCAAATGACACCCGCAATTGAGACACACGTCTTTCCAGTAGTGGAGTTCGAGTCCCGGGCATTTATGGTCGCATCGGGAACATGGCGACCCCTTGCCGAAGTCGTGAGCTAAGGTAGGCGCGGCGCGCTTCCTACGCTCTATGCGGAAAAGGTAGGGATTCGGCTCTTTGGCTTTGATGCGAATGGCGTTGTTGCTACTGAGAGCTCGCTTTCCTCTCCGCGAATACGAGCACATTTTTTTTTCTTCTCCTATACACGAAACGTTTAAAATGAAAACCCAGATAATATCTTGTCTCAATCTTAATTCTCTGACTTCATGGAACTATACTAAGATGCCATCAGCAGTTCTTATGATGGGAGCAAAATACTGGGTTTCCCAAAATTTTGACACACACTCAACATGAAGGGATTAATAAGGAGTAGACATCTTAAAACACACTGAAGGCTGCTGCTGCAGCAGTGATTTAACTTCCTATATTCATTGTGTTATTCGTTTATTGGACTTTCATGTAATTTAACTGCTGTTTGAGGCTGAGTCCATAAGCATTATGTCCTGAAATAATTGGCACTGAAGTACAGAAAACCATTTTTAAAATAATGATTTGAGAAAATATTTGTCTAGGAGTGATTGATGAAAACTTTTGTCCATGAAGACCTCATGCACTATGAATTTTATGCAATGGTTGATTGCCAGTACTGTATTGGGTTGACAGAAGCAACCCTGGCCAAAAAAATTGGAATTAATTCCAGAGAGTATATAGTTATTGGGCTTGTTATTGTAGAGCAGAACCATATCCTCCATCATAGGGTTACATTGTAAAGTATATTAATTGATCTTCTCCCAAACCAAGATTATGCATATACAGTGAACATGTAAAAAATACAGTAGGTATAATACTAGCAGTGCAATATAATACAGTATTTGAAAAGTGCAGTATCACACTTATACAGTATACCCCATCCTATGTCATATGTTACAGTATATTTTTTGGAATTACAACACAATTTTTCCAATATTGCATTATGAGGCATTTGAAATTTTTGGTAAGGGCTGGGGTGCAGGATTCACTTCACAGTGAGATTTCTTTTCAGAAGGAAAGTGATTCTGAAGGCTTTTTTTATAAAACTTAGTTTCCCATGTGCAATGAGTGTTTCAGAATTTTTGGAACGTTTTCATTGAATCAATTACAAATAACTTAGGGATGATGGCTGAAATTCTCTCTACATATGCTGCTTCAAAAAACCATCATTTTATAAATTTAGTAAATAAAAAGGCAAAAAGTAAAAACCCAAAACATGTCATATAAAAATGAGTTCCACTTGGAACATTTTTTTTTTAGAAATACTGTATTTATATTTTGTCAACAAAAATACTCTCAATTGGTTGTTATGCAAGTCATAGATGACGTGAAGATCATTGATTCTTGAATCTGATGAGCTTATCTTTGCTTGTGCATACTGTAATACAGTACACCATTGAGAACATGACAAAAGAAGTGAGCTATATATGATTCTGGTGACATCTATACAAATCAAAAAATGGATCAAACAGCAATAAAATGACATGAAACCCATACAGTGTACACCAAAGCAGTAAAATTTACAAGAAATCAACAACTTCCACAGTCCATATACAATTACTACAATATATCAGTTTCAGGTCCATGATGTACTCTTCAAATTGAGCACAGGTGAAAAAAGAGCAAATGCAGTCAGAAGATAATCATCAATTAAGAAACCACTCAAACATTAAAAATAACAATTTAAAATATTTGGTTGGTATTCAGTACTGATGATTG